GCGTGGTCGAACGCTGCCCAGCGTGGCAGACCCTGCACCACAGCACTGATGACCACATGGTGGCAAGTGCTGATGCAGTTTCTCAGCTTGCAGATCACCCTTTCATTCAGCAACCCATCTCAGGTGTTCAGTAAAACAAACTATTTGCTATCGCCTCCGCTCTTGGCTAACCTCAGGTTTATTTGCTCAGTCATTTATCAGCCAGGGCCCAGGCCAGCATCATGGTCAGGGCCACCATCAGACTCCACCAAGCACCAGGAGAGCAGGTGTGTGGCACCACAGTGTCCTGACCTGTTCATCCTTCTGGGCTGCTCGGGGATGGCAGGGGATTCTCCCCCCTTCCTGCAATAATGTGGGAATAATAGTCCCCTTCCAGGCTCCAGGCTGTTGCTGCCTTCTGGCCCACGGCTGATCACCCCAAACGCTGAATTAAGCCTTGGCTGCTGCGATACGCTCCTCGTTTGATGGGAGCTCAGGGGCCGCAGTGCCCCTGCTTGGGTGATCTCCACGGGGTCACTGCAGGGGTTGGTGGGGAGATGCCGGGTACGTGCAGGACATGACTCAGTTCCTGCCAGTCGGGAGCCAAACTCCTGCACGGGAGAGGCCGGGCTGGCTGCAGGCTGGCAGCGCGTCCTGCTCCGCTCCAGCTGGGCTTAGCAATGCCTGCCTGGGTGTCTTGGCTGGTATCCAGCTCCAGCAAATAGCAGTAGAAATGCAATGAGAGCTGTTGGGGAAAAAACCCAAACCCTGACTATGCTGCCAACCAGAGGCACGGTGCCTGGAGCATGCAGAGAGCCTTCCTGCACCCTGTACAACTCTGTCGCGTTGGTGGTTGCCACGATGCTCTTCCAGAAAAGCCATGGACCTTGCTGAGCCATCGCCGAAGTGGAGGGGCCACAGGCGACGGTGATGTCTGCTGGGCGAAGGGCACCATCTCCCGTCGATGGGCCAGCTCCAGGGACCTCTCCGGCCTCAGTGGCAGAGCGGTTGCTCACTCCATGGCCTGGTGGCGGGGCAGAGCTGTGCTGTGCCCTGGCCGAAGCCTCTGCCGCTGGCCCGTTTTGGTGACGGCACAGCAGGTGCAGCGCCGGCAGCCTGGCACTTGTACAAGATACACCAGTGGGTCAGAGCCATGCTGTAAAAGCAGCTGAACTTTCCTTAAGGTATTTGACCTACTGCAGCCTGGGCTGTGTGACCACGGTCTGGTGGAAAATGTGTGGTTGCATACGTCAGAAGAACAGAAAGCTGCATCACTCCATGATGGCAGCACAGTGGGGACGGCACTGGGGCTGCTGCAGCATGTCCACTGCGGGGGCACTGGGTGGGAGCTGGGATAATTAGCTGCTTGATGATGATTACACCAGTAAAGACACTTTTCCTGGCGGTGTAAAAGGAACTAATGCATTGCCAGGTTATTTAATCTCAATAAATCATTTTAAAATATTCAGCTGTTATTTACATTAAAGCAACATTTGATGCCTCTGGGCAGAAACACAGAGGAGATTCAATATTTGCTATACATTAATTGAGCAGACTTAGGTGAGTAAATTTACTTTAATAGTTTTTTGCCTAATAATATTAGGCCTGAAAGGGAATGAAGGAGGGGTTTGCTGGAGCATTCAGAGCAGTGAAAATCTGTTTGTTCCTCACTGTCTGATCATGTTTTAGTGAGCTCAGGAAAGAAGTTGAGTCTCAGTTGTCTTATAGCCCCTGCCTGCTTTTCTCGATGGTGGTTTATGACAGGGGTTGCAGTTGTGTGCGGTGGTTTGCTAACGAGGCTCTTGGTACCTTGAGCTGGTAATAGTTTCGCACTTCTTTATTTTAACCTCTGTTAGCTTAAGGCAGTGTCCCACCAAGTAAGTGTATTAAGGTAATAACAAGGTAATTAATGAACAATTTTAGAGCATCGAACTATCCCAAATTTCACCTTGTTCTCTTCTGGCTGGTGCCGCCGCGACCAGCTGTGACCCTTCTCTGTAGTCACGGCAGCGACCAACATCGTTACCTGGAATCAAGCCACTGAATGGAGAGATGCTGGGAGGAACTGGCAATGTGTCCCTGCAAAAATAAAGAGCTAATCTAAGGAGTGCCGTCGTTCATTGTGAATAACCACCTCCACCTCAATGAGCACCATCTCCTCCCGGTGCTGACAGGCCTGCAGGCCTCTTCATGGCCCAGCTCTGGCTCTTGCAGACACGGAGAGCAGCACATTTTGCCATCTCCTTCCCTCAGAAGGGGCCCCCACTTAACTGTGATCTTGGCTGCAGCTCTGCTGTGCGCGCTGGGGAAGAGCGAGCAACTCAAATAAACATGCCACCATTACAGCCACTGGGAAACTAAGTGACTTCTTAACTGGTTCTGTAAAACTGCATGCTGAGCCTTATCTTCGCAGAAGTGTTCAGGAGAAGAGCAGCTGGAAGAAGCCTTATGTGGAGGCATGTGTTTCCAGCAAGAGGCAGCACAGAACATCACCAGCCTGGAGCGGCGCGGTGGACACCGGCCTCAGCACGGCACACTGCGCCACGGCGGCTCTTCCTTGTGCTCCTGCGCGCAGCCTGCCTCAGGCACACAAAGCTCTTGGCCCTTCGGTTTCTGACCAGCGGTCTCTTTTGCATTTTCCAGTCTCGCTACAGTAGTTTTTGGGATGCGACATGACTGAGGCAGCAAAGAAGGAGCTGAAGTGATCCACTAAGCGTGAATAGCACAAGCCAAGGAGCTTCAGTTTTTTGATTCCCACGTGCAGAGCTGTAGGGCGGCAGCAGCTCTTGGTGCTCCTACAGCACTGACTAAGCTTGGCCAACGTCACAGCTCGAGACTCAGACTTTGCCAAGAGATCGGATTTCTGGGAACTTGCTCCGAATCAAATCTTAACGTTTTCAAGCCCCACAACCCCAGACCAGCTCTGGCTCCTGAAAACAGGCACTTACCACAGGGTTGTGAAAGTGATGGGCTTGGCCTCAGTGAGGCCCTGTCTGATAACTTCTCCTCTTCTGAAGCAGGAATACTTTGTAATAATGAGAGAAAAGTGCAGGGGAAACCCCTGCCCATTAGCCATCTACCCCGTGGAGGTGTTCACAGTTCAGCAGCGCCTAAATGTGGCCGCTGCTCCCGCATCCTCTCAGCCAGCCTCGGCCATGCCCGAAGTGAGCCCTGCTCCGCAGCGGCCACCCGGAAGGAGCCGAGGGCTCCCCTCAGCCCCTCTTTGCCTCCCAGTTGATGCTGGCAGCCCCACCACTTACCCTCCTGTCTTTGCAGCTTGCAGGAGGAGAGGGACGCACGGCTCGCACGGAGGCGACGGCAGCGTGATTCACAGGCACAGCTGCGGTTCTGTGGGAATAAAACCCTCCCCTGCCTCACGGGCCGGAAGAAAATCAGAACAAACGTTCTTAGGAAAGGAGGAGCAGGGTAGCCAAGCCAGAGTAAACAAGCACTGAGAGAAGGGTGTGGGAAGGGGGGGACATGCGTGTCAGCCAGCAGACACTAACTGGCTGTGGAGAAGATGGTAACGGGTTTCTCATGGTGTCTTTCAGGCAGTTGCTGGTTCTTCGTATCTCCAGAAAGCCATCCAACTGATGCTTTGATGTTGGCATCTGGTCTGGTTGCACCCAAACCAGCCTGACTTTTGGTGCTTTAGGTTCCAGCTCCGTTTGTGTCTCTGAGCATCAGTCACAACCTTTGTTTTCTTGGCCGTGGAGGCACCCCGTCCGTGGGGTTAGGAAAGGTGTGGCTCTGCACCTCTCAGCACTGCATCAGCTTGTCCCTGGGCCACTGTGGAGCTTCTTTCTAACACATGTGGGAGCAGCAGGCGCCCAAGGAAGGAGTCTACTTAAACATCTGGATCTTTACAAGCAGTCATGGTGGGTCAGAGGAGAACAAGCATCACTGCACAACAGCAGCTACGCATGGTTGTACGGTTTCACCCCACTGACGACTTCAGCAGCTGCAGGTCCGAGTCTGTGTGGCTTCAGGACGTCTCGATGGCGCACGTCCTACCGAATTGGTACGTCACATCCACGAGCAGTGGAGGCCAACACCAGCCCCAGGAGCTCGGCGAAGCTGCCCGCGTCAGCGCTGTCGATGGAGGATGCGAATAGCAGGGACATCAAATGGGAGGAGAAGAGCCCAGTGTCCCCGGCTCCCAGCTCCCAGCTCCAGGCCTGGATGCAAGACTCTGAATGGAGACACAAACCCTAACTTGTAATTCTCCTAAGCAATCCATCATTAGCAGTTGCTTTCAGAGGCTGGCTCAGAAGAGGCTTTCAGGGTATTTGTTATCCAGCCACAACAAGCTTGTGTGGGCTGCAGTCTGGCATGTGAAAGCCAGGAATCACACCGTTTGGGAAACTAGTAGGATCCCTGTTTTCCACACACTTGTGCAATTCCCATCTTAGTGTATAAGGTAGCATGGGAAGGGACATCACACTACGGGACAGCTGCAGTCTCCAGTGAAAGTCAGCATTGCTGCAGGCATAAGCACAGCCCAAGCTGAAGCAAGCTGGCTGTGGTATAAAGGCTGTAAGTGTGTGGTGATGCTGGTTAAGTCTTTCACTACTGATTACAGTGTAGAACTGAGAGCCAGCATTGTCTCAGCTGTAACAGGTCAGCCCAGAAGTTCATGTAACCCAGTAGCATGCCCTGGCGTGCCCAGCAGTGGATGCTCAGAGCAAGAGAGTATGTTGGTGGTTACAGAGTGAGCCTTCCCTGTGTTCTTGCCCTCCTTGTAGTTAGTGGTTTAGGCTCATGCGATGATAAAGCCTGTTTGAAGACTCCAAGTCCTTGCCTCCTACTGAAGGATGTTCGCGGGCAGGGGCGGTGCTTGGCACCTCTCAGGAATAGTAACTGAATCACCTCCCCAAATCACTTTTCGTAGGTGCAGAGCACTGGTGAGATTTTTTTACCCCTCCGGTGATCACAGAGGTGAGGTTCCTGCGTGGGTGTGGGTGGGGCTTTTGTGGCATTAGCCAAAATGCTGGTGACTTTAACTGCAGGGAAGTCATGAGCGCTCATTTATTTAATGGCTCTATCTCGGTTTTGTTCTCGATGCTGTAGGTATAATAGTCTGGTGACTGGCAAGCGGGCAAGAGGACTCATTGCTGTGCTGTGGCTCCTGTCCTTTGGAATTGGACTGACCCCGCTTATGGGCTGGAATAAAGCCATAAGTGGCTGTCCCAACGCCACCAAAGAGACAGGGGCTGACACCGGGCCAGAGCACCATGGCTGCTTCATCTCGTGCCTCTTTGAGAATGTGGTGACGATGAGCTACATGGTGTACTTCAACTTCTTCGGCTGCGTGCTGCTTCCACTTGTTATCATGCTGGGAATCTACATTAAGATATTCATGGTCGCCTGCAAACAGTTGCACCAGATCGAACTGATGGGCAACTCCAGGACCACACTGCAGAAGGAGATCCACGCAGCCAAGTCTCTGGCCATCATTGTAGGACTTTTTGCCTTCTGTTGGCTGCCCTTGCATATCTTGAACTGCATCACTCACTTCCACGAGGAGTTCTCCAAATCCAAGCCTGAGTGGGTGATGTATATGGCCATCATCCTCTCCCATGCCAACTCTGTCATCAATCCCATCATCTATGCCTACAGGATCAGGGACTTCCGCTACACCTTCCGCAAGATCATTTCCAAGATCCTCTGTAAGACGGACGACTTCCCCAAGTGCGCCGCTGACAACAACCAGCACCTGACTGCCACCAACATTAACTCCCCAGTAGCCTCTGTGACCATATGACCTTGCACGTCCTGCTCCGAGGAATTTCCAGTCTGTCCCTGACACTACCTGTCCCTGTGCCTATGTGAACAGTTGCAGCTAACTCCTAGGGGAGTGCGCAGAGATGACCACTATGCAGTTATACAGCTGTATTTTTTTTTTTATTATTATTTTTGTAATTAACGTAGTGCCTCCTAGAGGAATAACCTGACCGGGGAGACTGCGTGCAGCTCACCCTCAGCTGTAAACCCGGGTTACCTGAGTGCTGGTGATCGTATTGTGTTTCCTTTCCAGGTCAGACATTGACTGTGGAAGACCCACCTGCTGGGGGTGTTTCCCCAATTGTGCTGCTCATGTCCAGTCCTAGGATCTTTGTTTTAATTATTATTATTTTTTTTAATCTTTTGATTCATTTAGGAGTAATATTTTGTGTCTGTTTCTAAGTTGTTCTTTAAGTCCATACTTGACAGCACTTTGGTAATACCCTAATTATTCCATCAATTGTTTGATGCAGCTAGTATTCTCCGATGGGAAAAAGTCTTACTTAGCCCAGTTGCTGGTGTGAAACTGAATCTGCGTTCCAGGCTCTGAGGGACGTGACCATGTTGATGGGAAAACAAGATCAGAACTGGCCAGCTATTTTTGGCCCCAGTATGGAAGCCCTACTTACTAAAAGAGAAAAATTTTAGAAAAGAGTTGACTGAAGCTTTAGAACAGCAGTTTTATTGCCTTTAACTCACTTTAGTCTACAGGATTCGGCAGACCAATGCTTCAGGTTTGCTTTCCAATCTGTTTCCAGCTATCAAACTGCAAAAGGCAGAAGTGCCCTAATGGCCTCAGCTAGTCTGATCCAGAGTCCCGAGGCTGGTGCAAACCCTGCCTTGGTGACACGATCGCTACTATTGGGTTTTTGCTCCCAAGTCAAAACTTGACAGCCTTGCAGTGCTTCCAGAAGTGCAGGTTGTAGCTATGATGGCTGGATGCTGCAGCTCTCCGGATTCCTAAAACTTGGTCTTGCTAGTGTTGCTCTGTAGCCCAGTAACCCCCAGAAGCTGTGAGTGGGGTTTTTTTTTCTAATAGTGAATTTTATTTTTTTAATTTTTTTTTTTAATCTTGACCTGCATCAGTAGCAAAAGACACTGGAAAGGAGTTAATTTGCTTGAGAAGCTAGAATGCCTTGATTGTGATCTGATTTTGGCCAAGCTCTTTGAGGGAGAAGCTCACCTCTAGCCTGGCCTCTGCAGTTAGCCAGGAGTCCTGGCCCTTTGTAAGGACAAAACCCACTCAACAGCAGAGCAGTCTTAATTTGTACTGCACGTTAATAACCCTGCAACCACAGCTCAGTAATTACTGCACCTAATTTCATAGGTAACTGTGACAGGCAAAACTAGACAAAGGTAGAAAGAACCGCGCATTCATTCTGAAGCACGAGCTCCACTTCTCCAGACTGCGTGGCGGCACGTGCACCGCGGTAAATGAACCAGCGTTTCTGACATGTCCTTTGTTTAGCAGAGCAGTTTCATTCCACAACTGAGAAGAATAGGGAGTCAGAAAAACACCAGCCTCCCTCCTTCATGCCCCAAAGCTGACTGTGGTACAGAGACACAGCTGGTCTTGACCAGCTCAGACCTGCCATCATGTCGTGGCCTTCTTCCAAACGGGAGTCTTGCCTAAAGGTCCCTGCGTGGTGAAGTGGTACTGTCTCTCTCTGAAGCACTCAATGCCAGCAGCATCACCACACGACCAGTGAGAAGCTGGTGTGCAAGGATGTGTAATAAATGTGGTTTTCAGTGGTAACTTGAGCAGGCAGACAGCGAGAGGGAGCAGGCCTTTTAGAGCCAGGTGGCAGGGAAGGAAATTTAAACACAGCCAGTTCCTGAAGAACAGATCCAGTGGACAGACTGTGATGCCTGGAGCAGTTTGTCCCTGATAAATTTTACTTGAATCATATAGAAATCAGCTTTCTATTTTTTTAACTGCATTGCACTAAAAGGAAGGTAATATAAGACCCCAAGAGTTTAACTTCTCTGGCATACATGACGACAAATACGATGTAAAATCAGCTGAAAAGCTGATCTGAAGAAATCCTGTTCTTGCAGCATCTGCTGTGCCAGCTGGTGTGACCTGTGGGCAGCAGCTGCAGGTGTGACTTAGGGCCCGCCGCGCAGACAGGGAACGGTTCACCAGGAGTGACGGATTTTCCTGCCGTGTGTGTGTAGCAGCTCAGCCGTTAGAGCCAGCCCCAAAGCTGGGTGAATCACCTGGATGGGTTTGTACAGGTTTATGCAATGTCCAAATTTAGCTACAGCTCAGTATCTCAGACACTGGCATTTGCAAGAAGAATCTGAATAGTTAAAGGGACTGTCCCAAGCGTTTCTCCTTTAACAGCCCATTCAGCTTTGCTGCATCTGCCTTGGTCATAGTCCAGCTAACACATGCAGCCACCTCCTGCCATTTGGGCAGGGTTTGACTCTCTCCTCCTTTCATTCCTTCCCTTCTGTATTGCCTTTGGCTGTGTTCCTTCTGTTAATCAGGGCTGGAAACAAGCAGGGTTTCACCTGCAGGTCTGGCAGTGTTGCAAAGTGGTTGCGAGCCACATTTATCCTTACAACAAAGAATGTAATCTCTCCTCGCCTGCTGGCTGAAAATGAATCAAACTCCGGACAGTACGAACAGAGTGAAACATGCAGCGCTGCAATACAGAGAGAGCCGGTCCCAGAACACTTGCTCGTATGTGACAGCTTGCACTGCAGCTCGGCATCCACGACTGCTGCCTTTCCTATGCCTTTCAGGAGCCAGAATTCCTGTAGACAGATGTGGTGTATCCTCAGCACGACTGTGCCACTGGGTTGTTAGCCATTATTAACTACAGCCCCGGTCACCATGGTCTTTAGGCACATGAAGTGCCTTTGTGGATCTGAGCCAAACTCATTTCAAGGCAAAATAAAAATAGGACACGTCCCTTGCCCCCCTCAAAAAAAAAAGCTCTGAAGGTTTCTATAAAAATGTGAAGTCAAAATGGCAGAGGAACTTCCTGTAGCGAGTGCAGCTGTAGCTGTTCAGCTATCACTCATTACCGTTCTGATGTACATAGGATGGATGTGTTTTCCTCATGTTGCTCAGATTTTGTATTTGCAGTAACTGTTATTTACATACAGAACACTTAATTTACCACCTACACAACTGGCTCAGCCTGTGCCTCGTCATTTCTTGCGGTGTCGTGTTCACACAGTGTATCATACGAGGCCGTGCTGTAATCAAGGAGGAACCCAAACTCTGAGCATGGGCAGGGAGTCACAGAGCTGGAAGAAGCTGGTTCCCAGCTCCCCAGCTGGTGTGTGGAACGGGAGAGGAGCAGTCTCCTTTCCCCCGTGTCTGATGGGGACAGCCTTGCCTTGCCTGCCAGCATAAGGGGGTCAACTTGTCTGAAACGGGTTGATTTCAAAGTGCAGGAACCAGGGTGATGCTTCCACAGGTCCTGTATTACAGTGAGCACAGCGGAAGCACAGACCTGTCACCAGTCTCGAGGTGCTGAGGGGTTCCTGCCCCAGCCCCTGGTACAGGGAACCAGAAATTGCTCTGAGCAGCCACTGCAAAGAGCCACTGCAGCGTCACTCCGTCAGAGGCCGACTCCACAAAGCCACGCAGGCACTGCAAGGACGGTGGGGTTAGTCAAAGCACGAGCAAAGGTAACAAGGTTTAATGGATCCCTAAGAGACCTGCTGTTTGTATCCCCACATCACAAGCACTTAATATTACAGATTAGTTCAAACATCTTCAGAAATCCCAAGAACAACCTAAATACATGAAACTGAAGTCAACGCGGGCTTCTTAACATTTATTAATTAATCTATCAGTGCAAGGCTGCTAATTAATGTCACACTTGGCTGCAGGATAGGAAGAAATCTGCCAGCCACGATGAACATTTGTGAGCCTTGTAGATATGAAAAGTGCCAGCTACACAGCCAGAAGGGTACACAGAAAGCACATCCGCATGTGATCCAAATCCTTCATCCTTCATCCTCTTCTTCAGCCAGTAAGATGCTTGTGAGCTGCTCCTCGGAGACAGATAGTTCCTGGCAGGCTCCCATGGCCTGACTGAGGTAGACAGCAAGTATATGTTTGCACTGCAAATAACAGCGCAGCCAAGTTAACAGCAGGAGCAACGCAGGAATGTCATGCGCTATCTGGAAGCTACAAAAATCTGTCCTGGCCCAAACGGGTCTCATGAAGTGCTCGCCCCTCCCAGGAACACGGCTCCCTCTTGGCATGCCAGGCCCTGGCACAGGCTGGTGCTCCCGTTGCCCCAGGCCAGTTCTGCCATCAGGATAATGTAATGCAGGGATCTGACACGCAGCAAAGTGTTACTGGCTCTTGATGCCCTCCCCACAATTGCAGACCAATCCGTCACCCTGAGCCCTCCTCACTGGCATGAGGTGAACGGCACCACTTCATCAGCCAGACTCCACGGGGCCGTGCCATTACCAGCAGTAGCCCTTGTTCCAAGACACCAGGGATATCCATCCCTTGAGAGTCAGAACAGTAAATTAAGAACAAAAGCCTTCCCTAGCCCTTCTAAGGCCTAGCTCCACCCAAATACCATGACTCCCAGAGGCCAGATTATGCAGTGGGTCAGGCACAGCCTGGATGGCCAACTCAACACTCATGTGTTTTCTCCCTTGGAAGCTTCAGGCTGCTCAGGTTCAAGGAGCAGAGCACAGCCTTCTCCCCAACTCCCTGTCCCGGCCCCACGTTACAGCAGACAACTTACCAGAAGGCTCTCGCTCTTCTGCAGTACAGTAAAACCAAAAGCAGGACACGTGCAGAAGTGGCAGGAACTGTAGCAGGTGTAGAGTTTGCCTGAGCTCCCAAGGACCTGAAACAAAGGCAGCCGGAGGGGCAGGAGTCAGAGCCAGCATTCACTTTTCATTTCTCTAACTCTCCAACAGATACTCCTGTGTCTGGCCCGATGTCCTCTCCACAATCACTCACAGCATGCAACAGGCAAGCAGGCGCTGCAATACAAAAGCGTCCCCAAACACTGCATCAACCCACCTAAGCTTGAAGCTCCTCTGCTTTCTCACAGTCTCTACATGCTTCTCTCCCTGCAGGCGAGGAAGCGCTCCCGTATGTACACCCGTGCTTGCAGCAGACCTCAGCTCCAGTCACTTGTCTGCTGCTAAGAGATCACGAAAAGGGCAGCAGCACTGAGCACAGAGCCCCCTCCCCTGATCTCCCCAAGCCGGCAGCACAGCGAGCTGCCAGCCCCTCCAGCGAGCGAGCTCCCCCAGTACTAGCAGACAAAGGACAGCTGAAGATGACAAAGATTCTTTTGTCAAAGAAAGCTCATTTGTGAATCCAGAGCCATCACGGACCTGGGGATGGAAGGA